GTCTCCTTTCAACGCACACTTTAGAAAGAAAAAGAGATGAACTGGAATTCTGAAAGAACGTCAAGTCTTTATCTGTCACTCTTGTCAATAATTTATCGGTAAAGAAGATTCCTAGAAAATCGCTTGTAGTCAAGTTTTCAACCATTTCCAGTTCTCCCATAAGAAGTGTCATCCACCTGGCTTACTACTTCATATAAATGTATGTCCTAAAATGCTTAGTTTGGGAGATACAGGGTGTAAAAGTTTCATTTTTATTTCGATTTTTTCCAAATAATTTATGAACGATGAATGATTTATATTTTTTCCAAATAATTGTAACGTCAATATTTGGATGAAAATTGGTGTTTGGGAGTTTTTTGACATGAGGAATTTGATTTTGATGTCATTGTAACTCTTACTTGTAGAGGGCGCCACCTACATATTTCTTAACTGGTTTGAAGAGTAATAACTATTCGTCCGTACTTGTATGAAACTACTGAGTAAAAAAATATACTTTTGCGACGTTTTTCACGTAAAAAAAGTCTCTTGGTAAAAATCGCGAGTAATGGTTCTCGAGATATTTGGAATCGAAATTATCAATACCTATCAATATTGACATAAATTAAATATGTTGACTAAAGAGTTATTAGACTGAAATCATAAATTTGAAATGTTTTTGTGCCAAAAGTTCAACAGAAACTATTTTATCATTATTTTTTCGTAGAAAAATTTATGATTAATTTAAAAAAATAAAAATTTCCCAAATTTATTATTTCAGTCAAATAACTGTCTACTCAACGTGCTTATTTTTTGTCAATAATGACATGTATTGACTATTTGCATTCTAAATGTCTTGAGAACGGTTGCTCGTAGCGATTTTTACCAAGAGACATTTTTTACGTAAAAAGTAACGGAAATGTATATTTTTTCACTCTGTAGTTTTATACAGGTATGGGCGAAAAGTTATTAATCTTCAAAGCAGTTAAAACCTTAGACAAGGAAAGAGAGGGGACAGGTAACACGGCAGCTGAAAGTGAGGCAAGTTGTCACCACGCGAAATTCTCCAGTGGCGTAGCATCAGAAATTAGCTTGAACCTAGATGGTACAAAATATTTATTAAAACGTAAACTAATATATCGTTCATTTTTGAGTAATGCATATACAATTTTGTATTTTATCTCTCACCTTTATAATATTAGAATATCTAAGTCGATAATGCAAAATTTATTTAACAGTCACAGTGGACTGATTATCAAGACAATTATTTATTTATTAATGTGTGTATAATGTATAATTAAATAAAAATTAATGTAATAACATATATTTTAAACGTGTATATATGTACATATATACTGTATGATCGAAAAAAACGGCGCCTTGTTTGTTTGGAAATGACAATTTCACAAATGAATATTAAAAATTACATTATTCATTGAATCTGTAAGCAAGTGTGAAGGGAATTGGCTAGATTCATTATTATACCGTATAATCGAAAAAAAACGACGTCCAGTTGGCATATAAATTACGATCGATGACATTCCCCGTATAATTCTACAAATAAAATGTTATAAAAACTATACAAAATCGAAAATAGACGGCGTCAGCGATGGCTATGAAATGAAGATCGCTGTCATTTATATGTAAAATTATATGGGGAATGTCGTCGATCGTCATTTACAGGATGTCGTTTTTTTTCGACCATACGGTATAATAATGAATCTAGCCATTACCCTTCACACTTGCGTACGGATTCAATGAATAATGTAATTTTTAATATTTGTTACCTTCAATCACAAGAATATCCTATTTTTAAGAGTATCCAAATTTATCCACAAAAAAAAGTAAAACAATTCTAGAAGCTTTGTGTTATTTTATTTATTTTTAAATTTTTATTAATTACTCACTGAAACTATTATTATACACTTAAATTAGCAAATTTTTTGAAAGAATATTTAAAAAAATATATGTATGTATAGTAACAAGAAGTAAGAAGTAGCCCACCACAAGTTTGTCCACCCCCAACAAATCTTGGCAGGTAAATTTAAGTTTTATATAACAACTATACATATAGATTTTTTATCACTAGAATTTTTCATTTTTTTATAGTTTACAATTATTTTACATATTTGATAACAATAATTTATACATTTTTTACATATAAAAATGTTTATTGCAGAAATTGTATTTCTCTGATTATAATTCTACGCCACTGGTGAAATCCGGTCTGAGTAGCAATATTTATAGTTTCAAACATTAATTATAATACAGGATATTGAAAATACTACTTGGAATTATTAAAAATAGTTTGGTTTGGAAGTGGTACAAGACATATTAAAAGCATTTTACATATTTTACTGCTATAAGGAAAAAAATGTACATTTTATGACCACATAACAAAAGTTGTGTATCGATTTTTACCTGTGAAATGTAATTCCAGCCTCTTTTTTCTCGCTTCGGCCTTTGCAGCTATCACCGGAGATCACGGGAGAATATGCGTGTTACCCGTCCCCTCTCTTTCCTTGTCTAAGGTTAAAACACATGTAGGTGGCGCCCCGTACAAATAGGAGTCATATTGATATCAAAACCATATTTCTCATGTCAAAAAACTCCCAAACACAAATTTTCATTCAAATATTGATGTTACTTCATAAATTATTTAGAAAAAATCGAAATAAAAATAATATTTATACACCCTGTATCTCCGAAACTAAGCATTTTAGGACATATATTTATATGAACTTTTTTACTTATTTTTATCTGCAGAATATGCTGCCGAAGTTTCCGGAATACAGCTCGGACCACCCTGTATATCATAGGATTTAGCAACTTATTGCCCTGCAGAGTTTATACATTTTATAGGGACCAGTTAGACTTACTATAATATTGTGAAATCCTGAAATTAAGAAATTGGAGCTTATCAAGTTTTTCCCTGGAGCCTTCAAATATTAAACAAATTATAGGGATGATCACTTAACAACTATTATTAAGCGTTCCTAACAAGAAAACTCACTCAATATAAGTTTTCAGTAGTTTTCTTTAAATGTCTCATTTTTTACCTAAATATGGTCTTTGAATGTCTCATTTTTACAGCACCTGACCCTAATTTTTTTTCCATAGGATTCCTTCACAAGAAAGCTTAAATACAAATAGCGAAAACGACTCTGCAGTAACAGCAAAGTTCACACATATTCTTCAAAAAGATGCCTTTTTAGTATTTAGGGCTTTGTGCAAGCTGTCAATGAAGCCATTACCGGAGGGTACACCAGATCCAAAATCGCACGAGCTAAGATCAAAAATTCTCTCATTACAACTTCTCCTGTCCATTTTACAGAACGCTGGGCCAGTTTTCCGAGCAAACGAGATGTTTATAATTGCGATAAAACAGTATTTGTGTGTGGCATTATCGAAAAACGGAGTCAGCTCTATCCCAAAAGTTTTCGAACTCTCCTTGGCCATATTTTTAGCGCTTTTGTCCAACTTCAAATTGCATCTTAAGATGCAGATTGAAGTGTTTTTCAAAGAGATATTTCTGAATATTCTGGAAACGTCTAACTCGTCGTTTGAGCATAAATGGATGGTGATTCAAGCCCTGACTAAAATATGCAGTGATGCTCAGTCAGTTGTAGATATTTATGTGAATTATGATTGTGATCTGGCCGCAGCAAATTTATTTGAACGTCTAGTCAATGATTTGTTCAAAGTTGCACAAGGTAAGTCTGTATTTTATACTTTTTTTAATCCTCTTATTTTTGATTAAGAAAATACAGATTTTTTTACAACCCACACATTTTTTAGTCTGATGTAAATACAAATTTGAAAGAATGTTTTATGCTAAGGATATTTTAAAGTATACATTTTTTAAAATATATTCCTGGCATTTTTGGTTTTACTTTGAGTTTACTTTTTTTAAATTAAAACATCTATAAATTTTATGTTTTTCGAAATCTACATTTACAGAGACATCTACTACAGAGATTTTGTGCATAATATTCTATGTCAAGGTTTAAACCTTAAAGATTTAACTGCTTTTGAAATATTTTATGTTAAAAATATTATTCCACAGTATAAATAAATTATTCACTTTGCAGCATTGCAATTGGTCCATTTTTTACAAATTTAAGTTGTCTATCTTTTAGAAAAAAATTGAATCCATTTAAAAAAGTTGCTTTTATTTTTAATACTTCATAAAATAAAAAAATAGAGGTTTCCATTAATTTGAAATGGTGTTTTTTTTGTAGTTTTATAAATGTTATTTTTATCAGAAATTTTAATCATGAACACCCTGCCTTTAGCCCATTATAATAAAAAAATCAATTAGATTAAAACCTTTTCTATATAACACGCAACATGTATACATAAAAATGCTTTGATGCAAAAATACATATAACTATACTACATCTACTATATTTAAAATTATTGATTTTTATTGTAAAGTTCAATTCATGCCATTAAATATCTTTAAAATTAAAAAATGCTTATTTTGAAAATATTATGAAGGATTTACTTCCGCTCCATAAATACAGAGTGTCCCAATATTCCGTCGACGTAGGACTACTACGTATTTTTGAAAATAAGTTCATTGGACACAATTTGCCTCTATACAAAAGTGCTTCGTTTGTCCGTTAGAGGGCATCAATCACATTTTTCCAGATATTTTAAGAACCGTTATTTCGATTTGAATGAGATTTTGTGTGTCTATATTTTGCTAAATGCTTTAACATATGACTTTTATAAAAATCAAGAAAAAGTACGGGAAGGGTGCAAACTACCTCACCCCTACATACATTTTAGGATAAATATTTTCCAACTCACCGACGACCGATTTTTTTTCTTATTATGGTCCTTCTAATATTTACTACATTTTTTGTCTCTTGTAAACAGGGTGCAAATAAATCTTGATTTTTTTAAAAAATCGATTTTTTATTTTAATCAGATCTTTTTTATTTTAATCGGATTTTTTTTATTTTATATTTTAAAGTCCTATCCTAAATGGCTAAATCTTTGTAACTCTGCCCGATATTGACAATATTACCATTTCGACGGCGGGTGTCGTTTTTCCACATCGGTCACCGATATATTTTATTCTGTAAACTTTGCCGATGCCCCTATTTCCGCCAAAAAAATCGGCCGCTTAGATCAAATGGATTTTTTGGAAATATGATGTCGATATGAAGATAATGGCTGTCTTAAGTCGAGAAGAAAATTAGTACCATCTAATATTGAAAATGCAAAGTACTTGTTGCAGAACAAATTGTCAGTAGAAATTTGGAATGAACTAGAAGATAAATTAAGGTAGGCGGAAGTTACAGCCTTGACTTCAGCTTATCTTTTGACATTGATTAGTCATCGGGAATAAAAATATAACCTGACATCAGAAGAAACTAGTGTGCCACTAGAGTTTGCGAATGAAATGTATTCAAATACCGGATTTCCACTTCACAATTTCAAAATAAATCTCTGCCCTTTAGAAGTGTAATGGATTCACATGAAATAACTTCAAAAATCGGTCCAATATTTTAATAGATGAATATATATTAGGGATATGTCATATACATACAGGGTGGCCCATCGAAAACGTTCCGCAAGGCATAACGGCCAGGATATTTATTTTTTCAAAAAATCCAAAAACACGTTAATTTTGTTTGTGAGGGGGACAACTTTTGCCCCAAAAACGATTACAAAATATTCAACCCTCTAAGCGTGGGTGTCATCCCCCAACTTTTTTCAAATGGAAAGGGGGGTCAAATGGCACCGAAATGAAAAGCGCTTTCTATTCTCTATATTTCCCCGCTTCGTTTTTGACAATCGGTCGAGTCATTGAGAAAATATGAAGGATTGAAATTTGAAAAGTTTATTTAAGCATTTCTCAGAGTAAATGAATTTGAAATTAAGGAATTTGAAATTAAGGATAAATTCGACCAATTTGCTGTTTTTTCTTATTATTTCTAGATGTTTACGCATTTTTTCACTTGTCACAACGTTGAACGATCAGGTGCGGTAGTTGCTAGATAGCTGTTCTGTGACTTGTACGTTGAAGTTCTTCTCAATATCGTTAAACTGACCCACAATAGAATTTCCAAAAATACCAGCCCACACGTTCAATTTCTGAAGGTTTTGTGTGTGCACCTCGTGAAAAATCCTGGGGTTGTCCTCAGCCCAGTACCGACAGTTGTGCCGATTAACTACACCGTTCAAAAAGAAAGTACACTCATCCGAAAAACACACATTAAATAGGAAATTATTATCATTCGCCACTCGTTCAGTCATAGCTTCACAAAATTGCAAACAACGATCAAAATCGTCTTCGTTGAGTTCTTGTAGCAACTGAATTTTGTACGGGTGGAACTTGTGTTTTTTTTAATATCCTTTGGAAACTTGTACGATTCCCGCCGGTCTCATTGGCTAATTTTCTTGTACTCAGAATACTGTCCATGACAACTTGGCCCAATGCGAATACCTCCATAGCTTCATTTACTACAGGATTTTCCCTCTGCCTCTTTTTATTCATAACGGAACCAGTTTCGCGAAATTTTGCTACTAACTGGCGAACAATTTTGCCATAAAGGTGTTTGTCCGGATGGCGTTCATTGAATATCTGCGAAACCCGATTGCAAACATCTAGAAATAATAAGAAAAAACAGCAAATTGGTCGAAGGAATTTATCCTTATCATTTACTCTGATAAATGTTTAAAAAACTTTTCAAATTTCAATCCTTCATATTTTCCCAACTCGACTGATCTTCAAAAACGAAGCAGGGAAGTATAGAGAATAAAAAACTCTTTTCATTGCGGTACACCTTGACCCCCCTTCCCATTTGAAAAAAATCGGGGGATGACACCCCTGCTTAGAGGGTTGAAGGTTTTGCAATAATTTTTGGCGCAAAAGTTGTCCCCCTCACAAACAAAATTGACGTGTTTTTGAATTTTCTGTAAAAAAATTGCCCTGGCCGTTATGCCTTGCGGAACGTTTTCGATGGGCCACCCTGTACATTAGATCTTTTACAATTATTTGTCTATCTATTAAAGTATTTAAATATTACAACAGCAAATGTAACTTAACTGTACTTATCTTATGAATAGATATAGGGTATATTTGATATAAGAATAATTTTTTATAATTTTTACAGTTATCTTTCGATTTATCATAAGTTTTTAAACAAGTTGATTTTTCTGATTTAAATCCATGATTAAAATAAAAAAAATCGTGTAGGTTAGGTTTCAACTTGATTTAAATCAAGATTTAAATCGTAATTTAAATCATTGCACCCTGCTTGTAAAAAAAGCAGCCGCGTATACTTTTTGAGTAAAAAAAATATTTTTCCGAAGTTGACTTCCAAAGAATGTTTTTTGTCACATCAAGCTATGGAGGCGCATAAAATCTATTAAGTCCTCATCTAGTTGACGAAAATATGGAATTTTTTGTTGGTATCACAAATTATATTTGACAATGTGCTTCATAAAAAGCTTAAAAAATTAATACATTTTAAATTAATTAACGTTCGGGTTTATTTTTAATTGATGCTCTCTAACGGACAAACGAAGCACTTTTTATAATGGTAAATTATGTGAAATTATCTTATTTTGATTCAAAAAATACGTAGTTGTTCTATGTCCACGGAATATTGGAAGTCCCTGTATATTTTGTAGGTCTGCTTTGGAAAAATAAATTCTCCAAAGATTTTTTTCCCAAAAACTAGGCGATGTGACGTTTTTTTTTACAAGAGACGAAAAATGTAAACATGAGAGGGACCATTTTACGAAGAGAAAATCTGTCGTCGGTGGAGTTGGAAAATATTTATACTAAAATTTATGTAGGGGTGGCGGTAGTTTGTAGTTTGCACCCTTCCCGTATTTTTTTCTTTATTTTTGTAACAGTCAAATGTTAAAGCATTTAGCTAAATATAGACACCCAAAATCTCATTCAAATCGGAATATCGGCTCTTAAAATATCTGAAAAAATGTGTTTATTTTTTTAAAGTTTGATGCCTCCTAGCAGGCAAACGAAGCACTTTTGTATAGAGGTAAATTGTGTCCAATGAAATTTTGATTCCAAAAATACGTAGTAGTTCTATGTCCACGGAATATTTGGACACCCTGTATATCATTTTGACATATTATTATATTTCAGAATATTTCAATAACGGTTTAACTTTGGCATAGAATGTTATACAGAAAACTTATTTATATTAGAATTTTTTGTAGAATTAAAAAAAACATAAAATATATAATTTTGTGATATTTCTTTTAAAAATAACCAATTTAGTCAATAAGTAGTGGCCAGTAGCCAGAAAGTGGAAACTATTATTGAAAATATTTTTTAAGAACACATCAAAAATTCCATACCAAACCAAACCAAACTTAATCATGCAGATTTGTATCTAACTTTGGTCCTATTTTTTAATGATCTAGTTTTCTAAAGGACTCTGAATAACGCAGTTAGTACGCGAATATCATTGATTGTCATTTCTCTTGACGCCGTCTTTTTTTTTTTCGACCATACAATATTTCTTTTTCTTATGCAGGCCGACACGCTCAAGAGCTTGGTGCTTCACCCAACCAAGAAAGGACAATGAAACTGAGAGGTTTGGAATGTCTAGTTTCTATCCTAAAATGCATGGTGGAATGGAGTAAAGATCTGTACGTGAATCCTAACTTGCAGAGTACGGTTGGCGAACCTCAGGACCACAAAGAAAAGGACACGGCGTCCTTGAAAAGTCACAGTGGCAGCATAGAGAGCTTAAATTCTAGTGAAAGTGGGAATAAGGAAGTTTTAGATTCGCCTGAACAATTAGAAGTATTGAAACAACAAAAAGAGGTATGTAAAAGTATCTTTAACTTTAAATAATTGTTTGTTCTCAGTAAATAGTATGTAGAAAAAAATGGTGGGTATTTGGTAAGACTCAAAAGGAAATAATTATGTTTCTTGCGACGTTTCGCGACTTTATTATCGCTTCTTCAGGCACCAAATCATTTAGTATTCCGAATGCCTATAAATTGATTCATGGCGAGTTGGAGTCGCCATAAATCAATTTGTAATAATAATTGATAACATATTCTGCTGTAAGGTGTTATCAATATGTATTCATGTTTTTTTTATTTTTATTTAAATTCAAATGTGCAAAGTCGGTTATGGGTTTAAACAACAATACATGCTATAATTTACTCTGTAAACTTTTGATAATACAAGAGTTATTGCTGATAAATGTTAATTTATTTATATGTGGTTAGTGGCTAGGAATGCGGGATTAGCATTCTTTTTTATTGCATTTTTATTCTTTTGTTGCGTTTTATTATGACAGAAATCAGCTATATATATATATATATATATGTATATATATATATGTATATGTATAAACTCGGTATTTTTTACATGAGTGTATATTCAGAATAGATTATTTATTATGTATACACAAAGAATTCTTGTTTTTTATTTTATAATTATTTCCAATTAAATTATTTTTTAATTCAGCTATGTTAACATTATTTTTGAACTCGCCAATCAATCAGATACAATTATAGCATACGATAAAAAAACGGCCTCAAAGACTGCTGGGGATTGACAATCGATGATAATTTTGTTGAGATCAAGTCCTTGACGTCATTTACTTAGACCATACTCTTCTTTATTTTTTAATGGCGGTTACTGTCATTTGGCTTTAAAAAGGTTGTAATTTTTATATTGAGTAAATTTTTTTTTAAATGGTGTAGTTTAAAATTCGAGAAAAAAATATTTTTTGGAAATAGATTTGTGTATTCCTATCCTTTTTTAACATTTCTATAATATTAGTATTAATTTTTGACAAGATTTATGTCAGTTTTTCGTAAATGACATCTAGAGATTGATCTTGCCAAAATTGCCATCGACTGTCATTCCCAGCTGTCCCTGATGCCGTTTTTTTTTTCGATTCAACTATTTTTCATAAATCTTCACTTCAATAATAATTGTATTTGATTTTGTAATTATAACTCTAAATTTTCTCTCAATTTTCTAGAAAAAATAATCAAATTTTAACATTTTTTTTGCGATCGTAGTAATGGCACATCTGGCGTCACTTATGCACTTATAGTATAGCACAGAAAGTGCCAAACATTGCCATTAGAGATCTCTAAACTAACTTAGGTTGCCAATCTGTTGCCACTCTACTAGTTGTGACAGTCACATAACTTAATGTAACATATACCATGTTATCATGTTAGTTTGACCCACTTTTAAAAGCTTATAACTTTTTTGTTTGTCAGGTTAAAGCAGTCATTCAAAAAACATGTTGTAGCAGTTTCAGCCAAGTTTTTCCGAGTGTTGTCAAAAATGACAGTAGGTGTCACATGTCAGATTTTTAAAACTAAAAAAACTTTTTAAATGGGACACCCTGTATATTAGTAGCGCATTAGATAGTCCCCTTTTCTCCGAATTCAAAAATGTATCACACATTAACATTATAAACGTCATATATCAGAGCCTGTAGAAAATATTTCGAAAATGCATCGAAAAAGGTGGTCATGTAGAGCAATATAGATTATGAAAATGAATAACCTATAACTGTTTTTAATTCTATAGCTAGTTATTGTTCGTTAATGTGTTGTGCTACATTGATAAGGCAAACTAACAAACATAATTTGGAAACAAAACCATTTATAACTATCTTGATTCTTTTAATTACCTAATTGTTTTTACATGCTTTTGTCAATTTTGAATGAAATTAAGAAGAAGAACGCACATGTGTGATACATTTTTGAATTCGGAGAAAAGGCGACTATCTAATGCGCTACTAATATACAGGGTGTCCCATTTAAAAAGTTTTTTTTAGTTTCAAAAATCTGACATGTGACACCTACTGTCATTTTTGACAACACTCGCAAAAACTTGGCTGAAACTGCTACAACATGCTTTTTGAATGAATGCTTTAACCCAACAAACAAAAAAGTTATAAGCTTTTGAAAGTGGGTCAAACTAAAATGATAACCCGGTACATACTACAACTTAATATTTTAATGTATGTTTTAAAGAATATTTCAACGTAAATTTTACATGGGTAATAAAATTACGGTAAAGCTGTTGGATACGCTTAAAATATCATTGAAAGAGCTTAATGACGACCTCTGTTGCTTATCCTACCAAATGCCCAAGAGTGACTATAATTTTTAAGCATCATTGAGAACCTCGCAATTGGTGGAATTTATTAGTGGTTTCAATTGCGCTTTATACTTTTTAGTTTACGATCATTCACAGCAATGTCTAAAAACACAATTAAAATTAATAGAATATCCTAGCAACAGCTTGCGTTAGTCAGTTGTATCCATAGAGAAAGCCTAATATTTAGCTTATAAAACAGTCAACTTTTGATTTCTAACCACAACTTCTCTTGACGGAAGATAATCAAAGGCCAAAATGACACTTTTCGCAAATTTTGAAGTATAATTAGTGGAAAAGTTAAAAGTTATCAAACTTTTAACTTTTCCACTAATATAATAACTATTTATTATAAAAACCAATTACACTAGAAGAACAACTTATTAAAGTGTTATAGAAAAGTTTTTTTTGGATATTGTTTTGCATGTTCCAATTTTCAGGTTTAAAATAAACTTGTATATTCTAAAATATAGGTATGGGAAACTGGTATCGACACTTTTAACAGAAAACCAAAGAAGGGCATTGGTTATCTTCAAGAGCATGGTTTACTGGGAGGTACTCAAGAGGAAGTGGCCAAATTCCTGCACAGCGAAGAGCGGCTGGACAAGACGAACATCGGAGATTTTCTGGGTGACAACGATGATTTCTGCAAGGAAGTCATGTACACTTATGTTGATCAGATGGAGTTTACCAACATGGACTTTGTGGCGGCGTTGAGGCATTTTCTCGATGGGTTTAGGTTGCCCGGCGAAGCACAGAAAATTGACAGGTAAACTACTAAATTATTTATTTGTATTATGTTCATAACGTAAATAAAAATCATAACATTTTAATAAGGTTGTAACTTTTTGATTTTTGAAGGAGACATTCATTAATAAAACACAAAAGGTGTTTTTTAGTGAAATTTAAAATCAAGTGTGAATCAAAGTGAACAAATCAAATAAAATAGTCAACTTCATACAGTTATTAATATAATATCTATTTATGTAACAAATTGCGAAATGAATGTTTTTTAAGCACGGGACACTGCGTCGAGTGCTTAAAACACTCTTTTCGCAACGAATTTCATACAAGATTTTTGGTGAAAGCGGATAATTTGAGATTTTCATGCTATTATATTATTATTTATTTTTAAACATTTTTTAAAATGTTCTGGTAATCGGTTTCTAAGGCATTGTTTAATGACAAAGTTCTGTCACGTTGAAACGTTGCCGTATTTCCTACAAAGTTTTGTGAAAAAATGAGTGATAATGACGAGCCTTTGGATGTTCAACAAGCTGCTGAAACTGCGCTATCCACGTTAGTGCCCGAGAAGTCGAAAAACTTATATGAGACCACCTACAACAACTTTGAAACCTGGGTCAAAGAAAATAATTTTACTTACACTAGTGCCTAAACAAGTGTCACTTTTAGATACTAGTGCCTAAAAGAATGTCATTTCGAATCTCAAATAAATATCAAAAACTGTCAATTTCGAAACGCTTTCACAAAAAATAAAAAAATATTTTTTGTGATACACTCTATTGTTGTATATCAGAAGTGTGTAGCAGAAGTAGTAGTAGTAGAAGATAGCACTTTTTTTTATGATATTTTTTTCTGATGATTTTTTACTTGCCTATAAGATGAGACAAATAGAAGTTTCTGTAGGCATTCATTTCTACGAATCGCTTTCCCCCCCAAGAATTTCACGGTACGTCGCTGCTGAGATTTAGGTACTTTTTTCTGATATACTGATAGTTCAGTCATTGGGGATTTTTGCTTAGAAAAAAGTCCGGAAGTTTTGCAACTTTGCTGGTTTATAGGTTTTGGGGTCCCTAACTAAAATCCATAAAATGCACATTTCCAGACATGCCGCCGGCGCCGCCATCTTAACAAGATGGCGCCCAAAATCGGTATTTTGTGAATATCTCGAAAACTATGCGTTTTTCGCGAAAATTTGAGGAGAGCAAAATTAAAGAGAATAAATTTCCTATAAAAAAGGTTTTATGAAAATTTTCGCTAATGTCAACCGTTTAGGCACAAAATCCCTGGAAAGTTTACAATTTTGCGTAAAATTTGATATATTATGTATAGTCGATTTTCCGAAATCAAATGTCGATTACGGTTCACTAAAACTAGTTTTAGTTTAGTTTCTTCAATTTTGTCATAAAACAGTGGCGTATCATTAAGTCGCTCATTAATTTATGAATAATTAATTTTAATTATTGAAAATGTCTACTTGTTTCCACACCACCCCATTAAAAACTTTAACTTATCTGCCCGACGGATCTGGCTCAATTGATGTCAAAGTCGATCGTGTCTGCTGTGCTGGGCTCATCAGGGGGTCTCTCAATACGTCCAACTCTTCATCTTCAGCCGCCAGAGGGATATCTACAGGCAAGTCCAACTCCTCTTCATCGGATTCGTCGAGTGACACTTCAGTGACGTTGTCACAGGATTTCCCATTGCAGTATGCACAAATCATTGAACATTTTAATCCTGCTTTTCTGCATCCGCAGGCTTTACCATAGTTGTTAGTTTTGCATTTACAGGATAAAAATGCCAACAGGGATTTTGGAGCTGGATTTTTCAACGTTGCGACTGGAGTAATGCCTGTTTTTGTTTTCTTCCAACCCCATTCTTCGGCATTTTTGGTACAACCCTCGGTACAACCAGACCAATGCTGAACCTGGTGGTAAGTTCGCAATGAATGCTGTCCAGCACGACAATTAATTATTCATAAATTAATGAGCGAATTAATGATACGCCACTGTTTCATGACAAAATTGAAGAAACTAAACTAAAACTAGTTTTAGTGAACCCTAATCGACATTTGATTTCGGAAAATCGACTATACATAATATATCATATTCATTGCAAAATTGTAAAATTTTCAGGGATTTTGTGCCTAAACGGTTGACTTTAGCGAACATTTTCATAAAACCTTTTTTATAGGAAATTTTATTCTCCTTAATTTTGCTCTTCCCAAATTTTCGCGAAAAACGCATAGTTTTCGAGATATTCACAAAATACCGATTTTAGGCGCCATCTTGGCAAGATGACGGCGCCGGCGGCAAGTCTGGAAATGTGCATTTTATGGTTTTTAGTTAGGGACCCCAAAACCTATAAACTTGCAAAGTTTCAAAACTTCCGGACTTTTTTCCAAGTAGGCTCCTTTTTTGATCCCCAATGACTGAACTATGAATCTTTTTCTAGACAATAGGTTGAGGTGATTATTTTGTTATTTATTTCTTTTGCATTCAGGTTGTATTTTGTATTATTATTCCGTTAACAGTTGAATGAAGTTCTTTATTAATGCTTTTTATAATCTTCAAAAAAAAAAATAGAGTTAATATAAATCCGTATACTATTCTAGCTTTATAATTTTATAATGTTTTTTTTAACGATAATTCTAATTCTATCACTCGGCCGGATAACTTGGCAGCTGTGGTCATTAAACCAAAATATTACTACATCTATATCTCTGACTACTACTAACTGCTACTAACCAACAATTTGGTTTGTGTGGTCTGTTTTTGTTTAAATGTTTTGTTTATTATTCATGTTGGGAATTTATTTTTAAATTAATGTTAATTGTTAAGCAAACTCATAGAATATGTATTTCTTTTCCATAATCAAAATTACCACTCTAAATTTTACATAACCAAATTGTCACTCTAAATCGCTGTCTTTTTCAGACAGATGTCATTTGTCATTCAATTCATTATTCGAATTATCAAAATGTTGTTAACAAAAGTTTCATCATTAAAATAAAATTTTAATCAATCACAATTTTTTATCTCTTATCATTTACCGGATTAATAATACAGAAATTACAGTTCAGTTACAAATAATTCATTATTTATAGTGATTTAGAGTAATTTTATTAAGAATATTCGTATAATTTAACGAATACTCTTGCTGATTATTGGTTTAAAGTAAATATGACAGTGTCTTCCAATGAAAATGCGAGTTACTAACTCTAAATTCTAATTCTGAGCTGGCAAATTTACTTCCTAGCACACAAGTTTGGTACAATATCAAGTTTATTATAGTGATTTTCTTAGCCGCGTATGGCACAGATCGTTACCCAGTGTTACCACCAAGCTTATTTTTCATTGGGGTAGATTATCGCGAGATAGCGGGGTTAAATTGTTTTACAAAGGGGTAGATCTACCCCGAATGGAGTAGCTGTGGCAACACCGCCGCTATCACTTCTCTTTTCGCGCGTCACGGCCGTCTCGCGGCCTTGAATTTTTACTCCCAACGCGCGTAAAGAAGTTTCACTTCAAAAATATAACACTAACACTCGTTTTAAACAGAAGTTTAAACATCTTTTAAACAGGTATTTAAAACAAGTAAAGGTGTTTTAAATTTTTCTTAACATTAACCCTGGTACCAGCCGAGGTACCAGCTATAAATTTAAGTTTTTTATTTAGTTTAAAATGATAAGTTTTGGTATGATATTGTTGGATATTGCCTTTAATTATGTGCAATAAACACACATTCAAATGAAGATATACTTACAGTAAACATTTCTGAGCATTGTATTAGTCACAATAATTATTAGTAAAATTATATATGAATATTCTTCATTATAGGTTAATGGAAAAATTTGCAAGTAGATATTGCGAGTGCAACCCCAACAACGGTCTATTCTCCAGCGCCGACACGGCCTACGTATTAGGATTCTCCATAATAATGCTCACCACAGATCTCCACTCGCCCCAAGTCAAAAACAAAATGACGAAAGAACAGTACATCAAACTGAACCGGGGAAACACCGACTGCAAGGAAGTCCCCGAAGAATATTTATCTCAAATATACGACGAAATAGCTGGACACGAAATCAAAATGAAAAACACCGTTAACAAACCAGGGAAGCATCAAATCAACAGCGAAAAAAGACGGAAAATCTTGTTTAACATGGAAATGGAAGCTATATCTACAGCTGCTAAAAATTTGATGGAGTCAGTATCTCACGTCCAAACGCCTTTCACATTGGCAAAACACTTAGAACATGTCAGACCCATGTTTAAAATGGCTTGGACGTCTTTCTTGGCTGCTTTCAGTGTGGGTCTTCAGGATTGTGACGACCCAGAAGTAGCTTCGTTGTGCTTGGACGGAATCAGATGTGCCATAAGGATAGCTTGCATTTTCCATATGACTTTGGAAAGAGACGCTTACGTTCAAGCCCTCGCAAGGTTTACTTTATTAACAGCCAACTCACCCATCATGGATATGAAAGCCAAAAACATTGACACGATTAAAACGTTGATAATGGTCGCTCACACCGACGGGAACTACTTAGGATCGTCCTGGTTGGATATTCTGAAGTGTATTTCACAGTTGGAACTGGCCCAGCTTATTGGAACAGGTGTACGTCCAGAATTCCTTTCGGGTCCCGGTCATAAACCTCCTGATCCTAGCTACAAGGAGCATATCGGCCAAACAAGCTCCCAAAGTGTTGTGGTAGCCGTTGACAGAATTTTTACTGGCTCTACTCGACTCGACGGAGATGCTATAGTGGATTTTGTCAAGGCACTGTGTCAAGTTTCCTTGGACGAACTAGCCCATCCCGGACATCCCAGAATGTTTTCGTTACAAAAGATCGTCGAAATCTCTTACTACAATATGGGAAGAATTCGTTTACAGTGGTCCAGGATCTGGCAAGTTCTCGGAGAACATTTCAATACCGTCGGTTGTAGCAAGAACGAGGAAGTGTGTTTCTTTGCGGTTGACAGTTTGAGACAGCTTTCTATGAAGTTCATAGAGAAAGGTGAATTTTCGAATTTCCGATTCCAGAAAGATTTTCTCCGTCCTTTCGAACATATCATGAAGAAAAACGTATCGCCGACTATAAGGGATATGGTCGTGCGATGCGTAGCTCAGATGGTCAATTCGCAAGCGAGCAATATTAAATCCGGTTGGAAGAATATTTTTTCGGTATTCCACTTAGCTGCAGGAGACCAGGAGGAAGCTATCGTCGAACTTGCTTTCCAGACTTCCGGTAAAATAATCACCGAACTATATGAAAGACAGTTTCCGGCTATGATAGACTCATTCCAAGACGCCGTCAAGTGTCTTTCTGAGTTTGCCTGTAACGCCAGGTTTCCTGACACTTCCATGGAGGCTATACGGTTGGTGCGATCGTGCGCGTGTAGCGTGGCAACGGCACCGAACCTTTTTGCCGAACATGGTGGAATGGAGACAGATGTCGCTATAACCGAGGATGACAGAGTGTGGGTCCGAGGCTGGTTTCCGCTACTCTTCTCTTTATCCTGTGTAGTGAACAGATGCAAGCTTGACGTTAGAACACGGGCTCTAACGGTACTGTTCGAGATAATTAAGACTTACGGTGACACTTTCAAGCCGCACTGGTGGAAAGATCTGTTTAAAATCTTGTTCAGGATTTTTGATAATATGAAGTTACCGGAGAAACATACAGAGAAAGCTGAATGGATGACAACTACGTGTAATCACGCCTTATACGCGATTGTCGATGTGTTTACTCAGTACTTTGACGTATTGGGGCCTTTGCTTCTTGAAGAGTTATACGCCCAACTGCATTGGTGCGTGCAACAAGACAACGAACAACTAGCTAAATCAGGAACAAATTGTTTAGAAAACCTAGTTAACTCGAACGGGCATAAATTTACCGAAACTACCTGGGAGAAAACTTGTCAGTGCATGTTGGATATCTTCAATTCGACCATACCTTCGGCCCTACTGACTTGGAAGCCGGATTCGATGAAAACGACGGCGATCATTGAACACAACGGGGATGTTAACGTGAAAGGTATACTGAAACGATCGGTGAGCTTCGCCGATCAACAGGCTCCGAACGCGGAGGTGGCGTTGTTTTACAGTTTGGAGATTAAGAGCGTGGTGCAATTGGAGTTGATTCAGACCATAGATAACATCGTCTTTTACCCGGCGACTTCGCGGAAGGAGGACGCTGAAACGTTGGCTTTGGCGGCGGCGGATATGACGGGCAGCGGGAATTTGACGGAGTTCCAGAGGGAAGAGCAAGGGATGTACCGGTTGCTGAAGTCATCACATTTGCTTAAGTTGACAGACTGTCTACTGCAATCACACAGGTAAGTTCATTTAACATTAGGATTATATAAAGAAACTATTTTTTTTAAATAGTGGTTTCAAAATAATGAGAAAATACTAATCAATTTACAAAGCTTAACGCTAAAATTGTGATGAGCTCTCCTAGATGTTAAATGGGTTTATATTGTGCTGGCAACTCTTACTTTTGGGTCGGTATTTACATGTGTGGAAGTAAATCGCATAGGGATCTTATTAAGTCGGAGTGAGAGAAATGGGACGGTGTGCTGTTGCGGCGTTGCCACATTTCGCCGGTGCGCCTTTCCCTAGCAAGTAAGTAGTAAAGTAAAATCACGATCGTATACCGCTTATTTTTAAGACTTTTTTTTCGAAAAGATAACTAGATAAAATCATTATATTTTTTTTTATAACGAGAAAACGTCAGTAATCGCGATAATTTAAAAACTGAACTTTTTAACACATAACAGGCTATAACTCAAGAACCAGTTTAGATATTGAAACTCCTTTTTTTATTTTGAAGTTCGAATCTTTTACAAGATGTTTAAATAAGAAAAATTCGATAGGCTTGTTTTCCATTCAGAAATTTTAAAAAACCCATCCATTTACTTTTAGTGCATAGCAGTTTTCAGCAATCGTGTAACTTTTTTTTATAAAGATTTTCACATAATCTGCGAAGAAAATATAGCAGAAATATTTAGAAAGTTTTTGAAAAAAACTACAATCAATTATTTCTAATGGATTTCGAGATATCCACTTTTGAATTCAGAGTTCTAATAGCGCGACCACTGTCGAACACCAACAATTCCACTTATATTTACCAAAAGTGCAGGTGTTTCTAACTTGTACTTAAACATTTACAAGCTATAGTGAAAATTACAACGACTCGTTAATAAATAAACAAATAAAGTACACGACACATAATTAAATCGTGAAGACGAACGCATGATGTACACCCTTTCCTAGAATTTTAAGTACTGATTGGGTCGATCGGTCGACCGCGACGAATTTGCTATATCCCCTTCCACCTCTCTTAGCAATGTTTTCTCTCTTTGTTCAGTACATTATAAACGAATTTTACCCTTACATACGGAAATCTTGACCCAAAACTAACCGTTGCCAGTCCTTAGTAGACCTATCTAACAAAAAGTATAGATTCTAAGTTAATTGTCAATTGATAACAGGATATTCAAACAATGCCAGCATAATATTTGTCTCACTTTTTAGCATCTGTTTATGATATAGTTAAGATTTGTTTAACAAGTAAATTAGGTACCAATATATTGCATTTTAATGCAAGAGCAAATTCTGGGAGTAATATAATAATCAAACAAATAAAAATCAAAATATCTGTTGCTATGCAAAAACATAATAAACATTTCAGAACGTTTATGTCCCCCTTGTCTGAAACAAAAAAAAAGTTAAATAAGTTAAAATTGAAATGGAAAGTAGATTTGATAAAAAAAACTTTAAAACATTTACTATACAAGGTGTCCCAGAAATAAGTGCGAGTATTTTACGGGGTGGTAGATCTGGTCAAAAGAAACCTATTTCCTCGTTTTACACCATTTTGCGGTCAAATTATACTACCAGTTAAAATACTTGCCTCCTCTGGGACACCCTTAATACACATTTGTATACTTAACCTAGCAAAATAAAACACCAAATCACCACAATACACCAAAACACTTTTGCTTTTACACTGGACGCGCGTTTCTCTAACCATATTAGCATCATCAGCAGATGATTATAAACTAAACTACAATCTACAATTTGAGCGTTATATATCTATTAGTGAGCGTTATATACCTATCAGTGGGCACCGAGTGGGCGTGACAAGATCTAGCCAACCGAGTCAGAGCCCACCGAGCGTAACAGTTAGATTTCCGCCACTAGAGTAGTAGGAACAAAGAACTTTAGTGTTTTATTTTGCTGTGTAACACCAAAGATTCCAACCCTCAACTGTAATACTTAATCTAAATTTATAATTTCTGACAGATTTTTATTTTAGTGGGATTATAAAAAAGTTGTGTGCATGGGTAGTATATATTTTAAAACATTGTATGTTAGTTACTTACAACTATAAAAAATCCGTATTTATTTTTTAGATTCGCCAAAAATTTCAACGTCAATCACGAACAACGAAACCTATTGTGGAAAGCCGGATACAGAGGTTCGGTGAAACCTAACCTCCTAAAGCAGGAAACGCAAAGTTTGGCCTGTTTGCTTAGGATCCTGTTCAAAATGTACTGCGACGAGGGCAGGAGACGCGATTGGGATATTATAGAGACGAAACTGATTGCGGTGTGCCAGGAGGGTTTCGATTACTTCTTGCAGTTGCAGAGCGAGACCCACAGGGAGGCTTGGACGTCTTTACTCCTATTAGTATTAACTAGGATGCTTAAAATGCCTGACAGCAGGGTAAGTATTAATTATAATAAATATGGTATGATTGTGTAAATTATAAATAAATGTTTTGACTACAACTTATGAAATTTTCTACGGAGCAATAAACAATGATTACAATAGTTGGGTATTCTGATTTTGCTCAATTGGTGGGCAATCAATTGGGGCGTCAAGTTCCAAAACCCGCCTTATCCGTTTTTTTTTAATGACCTAATGACATATATTAATAGTGGACCCTCAAATCTATATAAACATAATTCCAAACCCAAACTGCAGTAAAAGTCGCCTATTCTTATATAAAATTCACTACAAATTACATTACTGAATAAAAAAATATTACATATAAAATGACAGCGTTCTTCATTTCATAGCCAATATGCATCATACTCCAATAAAAGCCACCTTATCCGAATTATTTTTGATTTTTTTTTGTAAAATTAAATATTAATTTTATGATTTTATATTATTTTATAATATATATATTTACAATGATTCCACTCAATGGGCACGTTTTTTTGTAAAATAACGCTTCAAATATTTGCTGAAACAGTTTTTGCTTATTATCTTGAAACAACGTTTGTGGGATGAGACGGGTTTTGCACCTTGATGCCTCAATTTAAGAAATTCTTTATCAGCTATTATCACTAGTGTTAAAACCTTTGAATAAAAATATTAAGGAAAGAGTATAATGCTATCCATGTATTCATGTATGGTAGACGGAGGTGAGGCCCTAGGGTGGGGATCTTTGACAGTTCTGTTTGACCATTTATCTTACATATTTGAATTGGATTCGAAATTTTGTGGATTTGTCAGACTTTAATGAGCTTATTTTATGTTATTTATTGTTTATTCTACAACTAGTAGTTGTTTAAAGGTAGTAAATCTAAAAGGACATTTTTTGTGACAGAACTTAACTAAATTAACAGTGACACTATTGCGATTTGTCGAGAAAGACTGTAAAATAGTTGGTAGTGTAGCGTGCGGTAGATCTCGGTTAAAATTCGAGGGAAATACTGGAATAATTTTTCGCTGGTAAGTGACTATACCGATTTGGTAATTTTAGAAGTGTGGTCTGGATTTTAACGTGTAAGACAGAGAATAATATAAATGACCGGTTGACAGACAGAGAGACAAAATCAAAAGCGGCATAGTGTTGCCGGTTTTTACGGTTGTAGGAAATTGTGTAGAAAAATAACTATTTAAACTATTTTAAAAACTTTCATGTATACTACTGAAATGAGGGTAATATATTGTTACGTTTTTCGTCGGTTCTGTGTGGATAGAAAGTCACAATTTATTTAAACACGATTTATTTTACACTAGTAACTTAACAATAACGATAAAACTACTTAAAGAACTATTTATAACTATATTTACAAACTTATTTATCTACCGTATTTATTCAGAGCAAAAACAAGAAGCCTCGACCGTAGCACACTGTAGTTTATTATCGTCTGTCTCTTGCGTACCGGCCTCGGTATATATACATATATATATACGCGTGCGACGGAGAGTAGAATGATCTGGGCGGTGCTGGAAAATTCTTAGCCGCTGTGTTCTCGAATTTCTAGGCTCTTCTAGGTCATATTAAAGCGGGACTGGTTTCGCAACAATATCTAAGCTAAATATAATCTATTATATCTGTAGGAAATTTTTTTGAAAATTGTGAAAAATAAGGTTCCAGCCCTAGATGCAACATTTTCCATAAACGACTACATGTGCGGTTTGAACTTTTGATGCAAAATCCGGCAATACCGCATAGAAGAAATGTATCAACCCAACTTTTATCTCTTGTTAATACATTTGATTTTCCATTAAGCTGCCGACATCACTGTCTTAAGCCTGATTTTCATGCATCCGTTGTCCGACGATACGATGATACGATATTAATTTTATTGGTTGAATTTAAAGACTTCCGTTGGTTAGAAACGGTTAACCAATCGAAGCCTTTAAATACAACCAATGAAATTAATATCGTATCAACGTATCGTCGGACAACGGATGCATGAAAATCAAGCTTTACACGTTAAAATCCAGACCACACTTCTAAAATGACCAAATCGGTCTGTAGTAAACCGACATGACATGGTACAAAGAAAACAAGGTATGATCGATAGCGGCTCCAATTTCTTTCAGTTTGCGCGTATCACCTGTGTCGTCATATGCCATACAAAAAAATATCCATATTGTTCAATTGCCACTAAAAAAAAGACCTAAAATAGAATTAGGTCATAACCTCAAAAATTATGTCAAATCGTTGAGCATTTGAAAAGTCATTTTCACGTTTATTATGTGTCATCAGTTTGACGATTTCAATAGTGCCGTTATCACCTGTGACGTAGTGACCAACCTGCGCAATATCATATCTTGTTTTCTTTGTATCATGGTAAACCGATCATTAAAGAAATTCACTTGACATTAACTAATTATATATTTTTCCTTGCATTTTTGCTTTTATTTACTACTTGTCAAAGATTGTCAAGTGACGTCAAAGAATTTAGATACGTCAATTTGACTTATCTGGTTCAGTATTGAATCGGATGTTTGTGTTAATAAATAATTATTATAAACTTATCTAAAATATGTCTATATCTATGTGGCGGATTCATCTCTCCAAAAAATCCTATATGGGTATTTCGCCACTGCATGAAAATCTACAAAATAAAATAGTTATTTTTTGTAAACTCTTCTGCGTTAACCCAAACGGAAACTACTTGTCAGAAGTTAGGTTTACAGATATACGAATTTGCCTAACGAAATTTGCCTAAAAAATGAACAGAACGTCAACGGTTTTTGTAGACGTATCTGTTTAAAAAAAAACTAAAGTGTTCTCGAATAGTTGAATTTAAATATTTTAAATAGTTTTTTCTTTATTCTTTGTATTTTTTTGCTTCCGACGACGGAAATAGATAAACTTTCCGAAACGTTAAGCATTTTTTTGTTCGTTAGGCAAATTTGTATATCTGTAAACCTAACTTCTGACAAGTAGTTTCCGTTTGGGTTAACGCAGAAGTGTTTACAAAAAATAACTATTTTATTTCGTAGATTTTCTTGCAGTGGCGAAATACCCATATAGGATTTTTGGAAAAACTTCTATTTTTATTAGAATAAAAAAATATGTTTCATATTTCCCTCTACACATGTTACTGTTGAATCAATAAATAACAAACGTGTAAGTAATAGCTGTAAAAGTTTCCACTGATATATAAAAGTAACAGTTTTACCAGTCTGTATGAAATTATGTATGTTTTTGGAAGTGTAAAGTAAGAATATTTTTTTACCTTTTTCAGTTTGCAGTACACGTATCCCGGTACTACCCCCACTTGTGCGAAATCGTCTGTTTCGACCTGAAAGCCGAACTTCGATCGATTCTCCGACGGGTTTTCCTACGAATAGGACCAGTGTTTCATATAACCTCCACTTAGCTTAACTTTGACCTAACTCTATTTCAGTGTCTTTATCTTCTTTGAGTAGTTTAAAAGAATAGTTCGTAGACGATTCGTGAAAGTAACGACGATATGATTGCGATTAGATGATGGTATTTTATGTAAAAAAAATCTAAAAGGATATTCAACCTTTATAAGGTACTGCTGCAGATTTTGATTGGTTAGTAGAGACTGAACTGTGAGATAAATATTATATATTGGGTTTATAACTTTATATGTCAATTTTATACACTACTCTGACCATATACCAAGGTGAAAGATACCATAATTCAAAGAAATTAACTTCATAATTTTGCTTACTATGTACCAGATTTATGACTTAAACAAATATAGTTAGAAAAACACAAGAAATCACATTTTGATTTCCATTTTGCTTTTCTTTGGTTTTCAAAATTATGGTTGGTTGTGACAATGATCAAAAATGTGATGAATTTTAGTATTAAAAGTTTTTTTTTGGTTTTCATTCAATTTATTTTTATATAGAAAAACTTAAATTATATATTTTTTGTAATATATACCGGGCGCGTCTCAAAAGTGGCGCACTCCTATAACTTTTTTATTTTTCCAGATAAAAAAACGAGATTTGGTATGTTAGTATATGACATAAATTAGGATTGATTCACGTACTCAATTCTTTTCGGGCACTTCCTCTTTCACCGGAAATCACTACAACTTTTGATTTTTAAATGGAATCCTCGGTATTTTTGTACTTTATTTGATAGACAGCCTGAATAGAATGACATATCATAGTCAACTTTTGAGATTTTTGCTTAAAAAATCACATTTTAAATTTACACACATTAAAAACACTAATTTTTAATCAAGGAGCCTTGGAAAAATAGATTTAATCGTCTAATGGTTTTATGGTCTTGTCCTGACCTGTTATGTCATGACTAGTTAAAAGATACTTAAATCGTATTTTTAATCATATCTCAATTTTGGTGGCTCATTAGCATATTTGGAAAAAGAATTTTTTTAAGAATAATTTGGTACCACATAATTGATATTTCGAGTAAAATTGTCGTTATGAACCGCATATTATAATTTTCAAATAAACCATATGCAAAAATGTTAAAAGTTGTCATATGATATGTCATTCTATTCAGAGTGTAATTTTCTATCGAATAAAGTAAAAAAATATCGAGGGTGCCATTTAAACATCAAAAGTTGTAGTTATTTTCGGTGAAACAGGAAGTGACCGGAAAAAATTGAATAAGTCAATCAATCCTAATTTATGTCGTATACCTACTGAAACCCCAAATCTCGTTTTTTACCTGAAAAATTAAAAAAGTTATAGAATTGAGCCACTTTTGAGACGCACCCGGTATATCAATGATCAATATTATTTTCATACAAGAATTTATATTAATTGTTGAGAATGAACTTATCAATTCAATAAAATATAATCTATATGATATACAGGGTGATGCCTCTCATACGACATGGATTCTCCAAGGAATACCTCATTTTTTAAGCACGTTTTTTGAGTATATGCAAGCTTATTTTGACCACATTCTTAACTGAACTTATTAAGAGCTCTACAGAATGTCTCAAAAATATAATTTTTAATTGAACTTAATTTTTGCATTCTGCATTGAAACCAAAATCCAAAATAATATACCGGATGTCCCATAACATCATAGTAACTTGTCCCCCGACATGTAACCAGTCTTCAGGGTGGGCCAAATTGGACACTTTTAAAGGGGGGTTTTCCAAACCAAAACACCCTTTTCTATAGGAGATATAGGCGAAAACTAATATCCCCGGTTAATCTCGAGAATAACACAACAAAACAACCAAAAATATAACCAAACCCAAACATTAACCTGTTAATGTCGACATTAACCGGACATCGGACTTTAACCGTAACATATACAGGGTGTCCCAGGCTGAGCGTGCATTAGAAGTTTCTAGAGAACCACAATATCTACATCGGAGATTTTTTGCACCATTGCAAAACAATGATTGCAACCATTGTTTTACAACGAGATCTATCGATTAAAAATATTTCAATATGGCGGCACTTCCGGAAATACCGGAAGTTGACAGCAACTTTCTTAATTTAAACGGATGCCCCCATTTTTTATTACATACTAAAATTCTCTGTAAAATTCTATGAATATTGATGTTAAACACTCTATATCCTAACATTAACTGTTTTTGAGAAAAAAAATATTTTAAATTTTTGGGCGAAAAAAACTACCTGTCAAAAAAATTTGTATAGCCTAAAATTCAAATTTAGTAATTACCACGGCCCCTGTGACATAAAGAGAAGACATGTGGCTATCTATTTTAAAAATTAAATTGTTCAAATGTCATATAATAATGGCGGTAGCTGTCATGGAATTGAGTGATTAAAAAATTATCATAAATCATTTTTTTCAAAAGGAAACCCACTTTTTTTATTTCACTAATGAAACGGTTTTTCAATTCGATACTTTTTAACTATACATGTTCCTATACCTAAAATAAATCGTTTTTAATTTATTGAAGATTGAGTTTGAAAACGTATATTTTTCTTGATTTTATCTAGCTTCCTTTGGCATTAAGTGTCAAACGGTCAGACAATTTATTTCCATCTGTCAGAAAACGAATTATCTGAATTTCCTATAGTATAAATACTGCCTGCTTAAGAGTTTAAAAAGTGTATTTATAAAATTATATCTCGTATTTTCACTCTTTAGTGATATCTAATAGTTGATATTATTATTGATATTCCGTATAATCGAAAAAAACCAGCACAAAGTTGGCTCGAAAATGATGCTGCTTTTTGAACAGTGTCAAAATATGACATGGCCAGATCTACTGTTTTACATCACTTGACGTTTAAAGTCATAGGCTACTGGTTAAAATCAAGAAAAATATACGCTTTAAAACTAAATCGTAAATGACTTAAAACCGATTAATTTTAGGTATAGGAACATGTATAGTTAAAAAGTAAGGCGAATTGAAAAGCCTTTTGTGGGTGGGCAAAAAAAGTGGGTTTCCATTTGAAAAAAATGATTTATGAAAATTTTTTAATCGCTCAATTCTATGACAGCTGCGGCCGTTATTATATGACATTCAAACAATTTAATTTTTGAAATACATAGCCACATGTTTTCTCTTTATGGCACAGTGGCTGTGGTAACCACTAAATTTGACGTTTAGGCTATACACATATTTTTGACAGGCAGTTTTTTTTCTCAAAAACGGTTAATGTTAGATATAGAGCGTTTAATATCAAAATTCATAAAATTTTACAGAGAATTTAAGTACATAATAAAAAATGGGGGCATCCATTTAAAATATGAAAGTTGCTGTCAACTTCCGGTATTTCCGAAAGTGCCGCCATATTGAAAATATTTTTAATCGATAGATCTCGTTGTGAAACTATGATGTGCAAAAAATCTCCGAGCTAGATGTTGTAGTTCTCTAGAAACTTCTAATGCACGCTCAGCCTGGGACACCCTGTATACTTAAACCATTAAATTCTCCGTAAAAAGGCGCTTTGGACCGACAGTGTTGAATGGGTCTTAAATCATGAATAACGGACTGTCCGTCATAATGACAGACGTCTAATCATATTACCTGTAGAGGTCCAAGTATTGTTAATATACATATGTATAGTCCAAATCAAGCTACGTATGCCCTAAAACTATCGTTCTAATACTATTTGCCATTCTTATGGTAGGCGTAAACAGGAGCACCCTGTATATATTATAAGAGGTTTTCCTTCAAAAGGTCAGAGTATAATAAATATAGGTCTATTGTTTTTTCATGAAGAACAAATAAAATAACACACCTTTGTGACTGAACACTTATACAGGGTGGCGCACCTCATTCGCCTCGGTTGATTATACGAAAACGGAAAGATGTAAAAACAAAATATTTTATGGGTATATGTGGGGAGGTAATGTGCACAATTTAAAATTATTTTGAAATATACAGGGTGTTTCAGAACTAAGATCCATACAAAAGTTATACTTTTTCTTATGGAACACCCGGTATTTTATTTCATTTTTGGATTCTTGGGCCCAAAAAAACGTATTCATTATAAGGGTTAAATATGTTTAAAATCTTTGGTGTTTGAGATATTGAAAGATATTTAAATTTGCATGCTACAATAGAATAGATTATTAACACCCTGTACATTACTTTTCAGAATTAGCTCTTGTGCTGACTTTAAAGGTAGAGAAATAAACTTTACAGAAAAATGGTATTCCTTCCTTAAATGTATACAGGGGTATCAAAAATTGCTGGTCTATTTTAAATAATTATTTTACATAAAAACTTCGTTATTTCAAATGCAACACTGTGTATTTTTTTAAATAAGTCGAAGCAGATTTTGCTCTTTCAAACTGTATTAGGATTTCCTATACCTATCTGGCTCAGATTTTGAATAAAAAGCGATTTTTCAATAAAATTGTAATCAAGATGGCTAGTGTTGTCATGGCAAGTTTCTAGTGACAGTTAGTAGCCATTTTCAAAATCGAAATTAGTTTATGGACTTATTTAAATTTATACCAGTTTACTTTTATTTAATTTACCTACAGTAGTTTAATAAATAATATTTATTAAATATGTGTTTATTATTCTCTCAAGAAAAACGAAGAAGTAGTCTTTGAATTATTTTACGATGACTTGTAGATACATGGATTTTCGATAAAAGAACCAATTACGGCAAATTCATTTTCTTTACTTCCAACGACAGGTTCCTGCCTAATAGGTTTTTTATAAACCACACTAGCAGGCGAAATAGGACAAGAAGTTTTTCAAAGAAACTCTTATCAGGAAGATTCCTATTTGGATATCTTTGAGTATAAACCCTTGAGGTCAAGAAGCAATTTTCCTCACAAAATAATATCAGTAGTAACATATCTATTCGTTCCGCCAGCAGAAACGTTTTTTTTTTCTTGATAAAATAATGAATATACTTACTTATTAAACTATTGTAAGTAAATTTAAGTAAACTGTTATAAATTATAAATAATAATGTCCATAAACTAATGTCGACTTTGAAAATAGTTACTAACTGTCACTAGAAAATTGCCATGGCGACACCAGCCATCTTGATTACAATTTTATTTAAAAATTGCTTTTTATTCAAAATCTGAACTA